TGTCACATTATCACATATCAATTTAGCTTCTTTCTTGGTAAATTATTTATAGAAAATTGTGACTGTACATAAATATTTCGACATATTCAGACTCATCAGACCCATAACTTTGGATGCTTTTATTTGAGACATTTCAATAAACAGCCACAAATGCTGAAAAGAAATGTTAGCATAAATATGAAAGTGTGGATGCTAATGGGTGGTATCTTTTAGCTTGGAGCGCATGGTTACGCCTTCCTCATCACAAACAATGGATATATCCTGGCACATCCTGATTTAAGACCACTGGTGAGTCCCTCTGAATCCTCTTACTGTCTCACTCACTCGAACATTCTTCTAGATAGACCCAAATACTATGAACAGCTGTATACTGTATATTGATTTGTCATCCCTCTTGTTTTTGTAACAGTACAGTGATGGGAAGAAGTTGAAACCCAAGCCTAACTACAACAGTGTGGATCTGTCAGAGGCAGAGTGGGAGGACACCGAGGACAGTGTGAGTTTTCCAAATATATGCACTTACTTCCTGTAAGTATCCTCAGCGAAGTCTTTATGATGTCCTGCCCTGTCTGTGCAGTTGAGAACAGCCATGGTGAAGGGAGAGACTGGAACTCTAGCTTTAGATGTGAGAGCAGCTGTGGATAAAGGGGTGAGCATGTTTGCAACTTTCATGTCATAATGTTAAATTACTTTAACTCCTTCTTTTAGGTGAATCTTACGAGTCCTGTCAAGAACGTTACAAGAACAACAAGAAGAACCATAATTTAACTCAGATTCTCATTATCGTGTTTTTCCTCCATATATATTTTGGACATGTTCTTTATAGGTTTTATAAGATTCACCATTTTAATAAGTGTTACATAAAGTGACAATGAATTAAATTTAATGTAAATGTTATATTGAGCAATAACCTATAGGTATTATAGATACAAATCTGATAGTCTTTGTGATTGTATTTTTCCATTTATCCCCCAGAAAAGGCCTTTGTTCCTCAAAAATGATTATTTCTACACAACCATCAATGAAACTCCATTTAGGTTTGATATGCTTCTCACATTCTTCGAATATTCCCGTCATACTTACTGTACATGAAATAGATTATTGTAAAACGCATATTTTAGTAACAACCTTCATATGATGCTTGTTTCTGATGTGGTTTCAGCTTTGGGATGGTGCTTACGAGAGGTCACGGGCAGTACATGGTCTTTGGCAATGTTTCTGTGGAGGAGGGTGAGTTTACAGTATGATTAACATGCATGTGTGTGTTATACTGAGGTGGGAATCGTACACTACCGTTCAAAAGTTTGGGGTCGGTAAGATGTTTTTTCTTTGTGAAAGAAATTAAGACTTATTTTCAGCAAGGACACATTTAATTGATCAAAAGTTACAGTAAAGACAATTATAATGTTACAAAAGATTTCTATTTCAAATAAATGCTGTTCTTTTAAACTTTATATTTATCAAAAATTGTTTCCACAAAAATCTAGACTGGAATAATGGCTGCTGAAAATTCAGCTTTGCCACCATCGGAATAAATTACATTTATATTAACAAATATATAATAATTTACAAATATAATAAAACTATATATATATATATATATATATAAAATTGTAATAATATTTAAGAATATTGCGAATATTGAATATTATAATCAAATTGCCTTTGTGAGCATAAGAGACTTTTTTCAAAGACAATAAAAAAATCTTACCAACACCAAACTATTGAACGGGAGTGTATGTGAGGAACTGTTTTAATTAATTTAAAAATGTATATCATTTTACAGATATTTTTCACAAAATATACATTGTTTATTCCACTTTTTTGATTTAGATAATCATAGTTTTTCAATAATTTATATTTTGATGTTTAAAGATTTTTGAAAGTCTGGGGAAGGGGGTAAACCAACAAAACCTCTACCTAAAAGGCATTTCAAAAGTAGCGAATAATAAAAAATAACAGTGCCCAAAGTTGAAGAAATTGTAAAAACACGTATTGAAAAGAATTTAGCTGCTACCAATTTCTCTTTCTTTAGGTCTTCATGACCTTCAGCAGCCAGACCTCACTATAGCAGATGAATGGTAAGTACTGCTGAGTTGAAGCAGAAATGTATCTTCTGAACACCGTCAGGACAGGTCTCGAAAAACCTTAAAACTTAGTTGTGTCTTGCTAAGTTGAAGTTGGTTTACCCACTCAGGACGTATTGCGAGACAGATATTGACCCACACCACCGTAAACTCACTCAGCTCCAGGCTGTGGTCCGATACCTGACTGGGAAAGAGCCTGACTTGGAGTGTGAGTTTTCCTCATCTGTGTTTGACCTTATTTTACAATATTTTCTATGCAGATGCTAAATACTCAATGCTTCTAACAGGCCCATATGAAGCTCTGCTAATCCCTGTCTTTTGCCTGTTGATTATAATTTGGCTAGTTTAACATGCAAGCAGTTATCAAAAATACCATCCTGTATTGCTTAAGTAAATATTTGAATTGTGATAGGTGACGAGATCCTGCTACAGCAAGTTCTTTTCGATGCAGTGGTAACAGCACCACTGGAGGCCTACTGGACAGCGCTAACGCTAACCGGCTCCGGGTAAGAGGCTTTATTTAAGCTGTGTACTATGTTGTGCATTAGGCACCAACACAAAGCCAGACTTCTCTGTATGTCCTATAAAATCCCACTGTCATTTTGGAAAGATTGTTTATAGCCATTCTCCTTTTGCTTTTATCTCCCTATAGGGTAGATGAAGGCATGGAGTCAGCTTTCCTTGGAACCCGCTCTGGGCTCATGCGTGTGATCAGATATGCAGGAAGTGAGAAACGTGTGGGAAAGTGAGTGAGATATTGTAAAATCAACTCCTAAGTTGCATACATTACTAAGTAGTATTAAAATATGTGTGTGTGTTAGTCATTTAAAGTCCCCATGAAATCAAAATGGAATTTTTTGGTAAATTCTTTTAGTATGACTATGTTAGCCCTACTGTTATCTATAAGCTAGTGTGCTCCAAAACAATGACAAAATTCGAACTTACAGTCTCTCACTTCCGCCAATTTGAATCAATGATTTTGATGACATCACTGCGCTTTAGCTTCTCATCAGATTTTCTGTCCAATCAAATGCTCAATATGGAGATTAGGAGGAGAAATGGTTAGAGATTAGGAGGAAACTGTGGCTTTGTCGAGCTGTGATATAAACAGAACGCTATTGGCTATTTTAATAAAGGGGAGGAGCTGCTCCATATGCCCCACCCAGTCTTCCTGTTTCACTGGAAATTACATCAACACATTGGATAATGCTGCGCGTTTTAAGGCATTGGCAGCTGGACCAGCTAAAACAATTTTTAGCATGATTTGAGATAAAGAAAAAACATTTAGGATACCATTGTCAGATTTTATTTTTCATTTGAAATATGTTATTGAAACAGTATTTTCAAAAAACATTTCCCCTTTCCCCAAATCTCCTGATACTTTGACCTCACAGGAAGTTCTTGACCCGTGTGGACAAAGAGAACCTCTTCACAGTGGATCACTTTCCAATTTGGTATCGCCTGGCAGTTGAGAACAAACCGGGTCAATTCTTCTTCTATGTCCCACATGATGATATAAACAAAGGTGCTTGAATACTGATTATCAAATTTACTTGTAGAAAAGTCAAAGTTTCCAGAAGGTTACAGTATCCTATAACAGTCTCCTATGTCCAACAGGCAGGAACACTTTTGTGGCAGTAACATCTGTGACAGTGACTGAAGGGAAAAGAACAGCTATTCCTGGAGGTAAGATATCTGTCTGCCATAGTTTGAATTCTGAAATCTGATTTTACATTCAACATATAATGATTTAGCATCATTAATTATTAAAAATTGAGTGACCATATTTGAATTCTGTTTGGTCGATATTAAATATTTAATTGTTCATGCTCATTTCACCTATTTTTACATTTTGATTACCTTAGTCGCAATCTAATGCTCATTAAAGTTAATCTTTAAAAATACAAATTTCAAAATAAATATCCATTTTCATATTGTACGTCATAATGTAGTGATGTAATTTGTGTCGTCACTTGAATGTAATCACTTTAAAGCATTTAAAATGATTGATTTTAGTGTATAATTTTCCATTTATTTTGATGCAATCGTATAGAATTTTAATAACACGATGCTTATTTAATCATAAATAGAAGCTTATATACCATAACTATCATAATTATCGACCAGAATTTGAATATATGTACTTTAATATATATGTATACTGTACTTGCATATTGAACATAGACAAACACATTTAAAATATAGTCTGTTTCTAAATTTGAGAAAAATATACTATTTAATATGCTAATTAACATGATCGATAGCAACCATAAGAAATCAAACGACTTGGTTTGTTAGGAAAATTCATAGCAAAATATAAAAGATTACATGAAATCATATTCAACAACATTGCTTCGAAATGTTCATTTGATACCTTTAGTGAGTACCACTTAAGAATTAGGCTCTGTTTACACCTGGTATTGAGATGCGTTTTGGTCGATCGGATCACAAGTAGACGAGGGAGACACATTCCCGATTACACCTGGTGTTTTAATCTTTCTCCTTTGTCCACTTTCAACCTCTTCTGTCCTGATTTCTTCGAGAGGAGGGACTTGGGTGGGTAAATGTATGGGCCTTTTCAGATCTTTCTTTCTAATTGACGAAATAATCTCACGCAATTTACATATGAACGCGAGAGAACATTGTGCTTGGTACGTTTTCCGTCTTCAAACCAAATTTGGGTCTTCAGCTGGCAAAGTTTAAATCCCGTCTGGCTTGTGCGCATCCCAAAATGTTTACGCATTAGGTCAGTAGGCAGAGAGCAGGAAGTCTTTTGTGGTTGTTCGAATGCATTTGACCAAATGAGCGTCTACACTTCGAAAGCAATCCGGTCGAATGTGTTTTCAACTACCTCTGGAATTGGTAGAGTGTGGAAAAAACTTTACACCTGTGTTTAGCGTCGTCCACTTGTGATCTGATCAACCAAAACGCATCTTAATACCAGGTGTAATCATTAGTTTTATATATATTGTGTCTTTAATTAGTATGAGCTATAATTGCTCCTGAGCTACATTGGGTAATTTGCCCTCTCCCTCCCAAACTAAACATTTATAAATCTATGTACATCAATGATTAAAAAAAGCACCAATAAAAACCCCTTATGAGTTCCTTATGTGCTTTAAACACACACTTCTGGAGGGAATGCCATCCACCCTACGCACTCTGTGGCTTCTGCTCCCTTTCCGATAGTCGGCATCAGGTCCTCTTTTTCATCCTGCTCTGGTTCCTTGGCCACCATCAGTGGCTGTTGCTGCTGGCTGTTCCCATGCGTCAGCTGCTGATGTTCATTTGCGACCAGCGTCGCGTAGATGCAGCCGTAGGTGGCCGTTACCACCATCAGCACACACACCACTCCGCACACCACCCCAGCTACCACCACTGTGGCCGTCGCCCGCCTCACACTCACAGGGCGGTAGCGCTGGCGGATGCAGTCTCCTGCTGGCCCGGCTGGGACCTGGTGACCCTCGGCAGCAGATGGGTTCCTGGTCTCGAGATAGAGGGGGTAACAGTGTCTGAACATCTCCATAGGGAGACTGCGAAGATCCTTACCATGCAAATTAGAAGGAAAGGAGCAGTTGGCGGAATCTACATGGCCACCTATGGAATGACAAAAAAAGATAGAATTGAGAAAATAAAATGAAATTGAATAAAATATAACATATTCATGTTTTAAATGCATTTTAAACCTGTTAAAAGTGTTTGTCTATGTTAAATATTTATGTGCAGTGTCTTTAATTGTATAGGTTTTATGAAATATATGAAAATTAGGACTAATAGTAAGCTAGTACTAGTAAGCTGATAAATATTTTCATGCTTTGGCTGATAACTAATAAGTGCCTAATAATTTAGACTATAAACTTTATTTAGACTAACAAGTCTAAAATAAATAAATTAAACAGTATAAACTAAAAAAACTACTAATTTATTTAATAATCATTTATAATTTGTGTACACACACACACACACACATACTAATAAATGGCCAATAATAAATTCTATATTATTTTGTAAATACCTTAAAAATAAACAGTACCGGTAAACAAAAAAAAAAAAGTTTTAAATGCTATAAGAGAAACAATATAAAAATGGATGTTCATTTTGAGATTTCCTAAAGATAACATTTAACAACAGTTATTAAAGTTTTTAAAAATGAACTTAAGTCAGCATGAAATGAAAAAAAACAAATATATATTTTCTATTTGCCTGTTACGATCTAATTGTGAATGTTTGATCTATGCATATGTTTTGCTTTTACAATTTGTTTTATACCTCATAATGTCATAACTCGATCTTCTGGTGAAAACAACCCTTCTCTCTCGTGATGTATGCCGGATTTCTCCAATCATTTAGTCCGCTTGAACTCCGCCCCTTTCTTACTACCAACTGCAAGCGCAGATTCAGATCCGCCTCCATCCAATCAACAACCGACGCATAGAACCTTGTCCCCTGTTTATTTATTTATATTTCTGTTCTTTTTCGATAATCCGTTTTACTCTGATATATCACAATAAGGAACAAATGATCTGCTGCTACCTGTACTTCTGTAACATTGTGACTTTAAATCTCTGAAATCTCTCTAAATCTGCCGATAACCGATATGGTACCAATATATTGTGCATCACTAATTTCCAGCAGTGATGAATGACCTCACTCACCTGTATACATGATCCATTCCAGCCAGTGCTTGAGTGGGATTAAGTTGCAGTTGCAATTCCAGGGGTTTCCGTCGAGCAGAAGGTGCTGTAGAGCAGTCGCTGGCTCAAGTGTGGTCCGCTGCAGGGTTCTCAGCTTGTTGCCCACTAGCGAGAGCCACACTAGGTTCTGGAGCCCATCCAGTAGGTGTGTGGGCATGGAGATGAGACTGTTTAAGGAAAGATCCAGGCGCCTAAGCTCAGTCAGGCCTTTGAACTGGTCTGGGTTCAGTTCCTTTAACCTGTTGTCTCTTAGAATCAGCTCTGTTAGGCTGCCGAGATCAGAGAACAGATTGACGGGGAGCCTCACAAGGACGTTTTCAGAGAGATCTAGGAACTCCAGGTTGTTCATCTGGGAGAAGCTAGAAGGAGAAACTGTAGAGAGAAGGTTTCTGGAGAGGTCTAGATATATCAGGATGCTGAGATTGGAAAAGCTCCCTGCTTCCACAATGGTGAAGTTGTTTTTTGAGAGGTTGAGGTAGCTTGTGTTGAAGGGAAGCTGGTCCAGGATGGAGTTCAAGGAAGCCAGTCGGTTAAGGTCACTGCAGTCTGTTTGGTTCACATTGCAGGAACAGACCGATGGACAACTTGCTGATGTTCCACACAGGCTCAGAAGGGTCATCAAACTCGAGGAAACTACAAGAAAAGTGAGAGGGTTAGGAAACTGTAAGAGTTGAAAAGATTGAGGATACTTATAATGAGTTGAGGGTCTTACTTATAATGTTCATCCTGGTCAAATGCTCTTGTAACAGTCCCTCAGCAAACAGGAGCATCCACTAGTCTACACCAAATGAATGCCATGATGAATCCACCTGGAAATCTCCTGGAATTGCTGTAATTTTTACGATAATGGGAACAAATACCCTTAGAAGAAGATATTTTAGGAGGATAGGTCATATGGTGCATGCACAGCTGGTACAGATTAATTTATGATGGTACTAATAAGCTGACTAAAATTAAAATGTAAAATGAATGCCCTGCGAAGGCTGAAAATGAGTCAGACCTGAAATGGATTTGAGTCTTCAGAAGGAAAAGAAAAGAGTGAACGAGAGTACTTTGTATAAAAGCTGCCCAGAGGCCCATTACTTTTTGTAAGAGCATAAAGCCTATTGAAAAACTAGATGCATTTGAGGTTACTTGCTATTATTCCCTTTTGCCCATCACATTTGCTGCATTAAACTATCACGGATTAAACTGTCCACACCATTAGATAATAATCAGAGTTGAGAACGACATCCGCTTTATCAGTGAAAAGAGGATCAAATAGTGCATGCTGGAATGTCCACTTCTTGTAATACATAAAATTGTATGAAATCTGTCAAAAATACAATTATATTTTAATATCTGATTAAACCGAGTTGTACTAAAGAAAAGGTTGTAAGAAAAAAAAGCCTAGAACTAAGGTATGAACTATGGTTTGAACTTAAGTTATACTAAAAACTGTTCAAATTAACGCATTTATTCTGTGCAACAAAGTCTTAAATACTGAATGAGCACAAACAACGACCATTGCTTATTTAAACAAATCAGTGAGAAATGATTATGATTGCACTTCTACGAAAAGTAAATCAGACCAGAAACATACCTTTCTGTAGTGCTCATCATCTATAGGTCCTCATAATTGCTCCTATCAAGACAGAGTGAGCAAATCAACAGAAAATGAAAGAAACAAGAGGAACGTACAGTTGTTCCTCACAGCTTGCAATGCCCAGTGTGTGTATGAGCGTGGGTCACATCAGTTAGTAGGACTAACATTAGAACAGTCTGTGCCGGAGAGAGAGAGAGAGAGATAGATAGATGGACTGAGGAGGGGGCAAAAGAGAAAAAACATCAGCTGATACAGCTTAGAAATGGGAGCCTCTTAATTTTTTTCATGACTCTTTTCCTGTAGCTTATGATGTTGCACATATGAGGATTAATCATGTGATATAGAGCATAAACAAAAGTTTTCCAGGAAAACATGAATACAGGGTTCTTACGCGCATGAAAAGCCTGTAAATATCTGGGAATTACCTGCACTTGAAAAATCATGGAAATGACTAAAATAGTACAATATTTAGGGAAATTGCTTAATTGTCTTGTTATGATCAGCTCTAAAATATTTAATTGACTAGAAATTATGAATGCAACCTCTTAATTATTATTTTTTTAATTCTGGAAATTATGTAAAAAATATTTAAATATAAAATACCTCATCTATTCATACTGAATGTTTCTTTGATTTTCCCCTTGTTTCTTCCATGTGCAGCTATTGGAATGCAAGCATCCCTGGACCTGCTGGAAAGAGTGTTCTTTTCAATTGCCAAACAAGTGAGTTTGACCTGAAAAATATTCTTAACACTTTACAATAAATCCATTTGTTTACATTAGTTAAGTACATTAGTTAACTTGAACTAACAGTAAAACCATTTACATATTTTAAAACATTTTTAAATTTGATACAAAAATATACATATTAAAAAATTCAAGAGGTGTGAATTTGCTGTGTAGCGAATGACAACAATCTAGAAATATGAGATGTTGTTGTTCTGAAGGTCTTTGGTTAATGGTGTGTATCAGTTCCTGTCCGCCTTACCCTGACGAATGAGCAAATAGTGTTTGTCACTGGAGGTTTCGAAGCGTACATGTACATGCTCACGTCTGCAGGCCTCCGAGGGATTTATCAAGATGCTTGCTACTTAGCAAACTATCCAATGTGACTTGCCACATGCCTTATTGTCCCCTCTGGGGTTTAAACCTACTAGGACCTTTCAATCACCATCCCCGTTTCACTCAAGGGCTCTTTTCTTGTCCTTTGTAATCTGGTGCAACACACACAAATCTACAAACAACTATCTGAATCACCTAACCTTTTCCTTCTCATTTTTTTTCTTCCCTAATTTCCTGTCAGCCAAACAACACAGATGTAAGTATTGCATTGTTGTCTTCACTTGATTTTTACATTAAAAGAAGCCAAAAAGCACTTATAAAGTACATTACACTAATATGGTACACTTTGGTGTCCTATTACTTTTTAACAGCATTAGGTGCACAAATTTGTACATGCTTTTTTTTTAATGAGAAATATTAGATAAACTGTTTTATAACATAAAATTGAGATAATATGAAAAGCAGCTTGCACTGTAAAAAATATTGTTGGTTTAACTTTAAAGTAACCAACCTGGTTGCCTTAAAATTTTGAGTTAATTGAAATAAAAAATGTGAGTTAATACAATAAAGGAGATTGGTTTAATCAACAAACTCAAAATAGTATGTTATCTGAACCACATGAATTATCTAAGTTGATTTTATATTTAAAAAAAAGTGTGAGAACAAATTTTTTACAGTGTAGTTTTGCACCTCAATGGTCTATATCCCCCTTCAAATGGGATTTTGGTCTGTCAGAGGTCCAGTATCCAACAATTAAAATGGAATTATTTTAACAATCTGTTCAACAAAAAAAAAATTTTTTTTAGGTGAGCCCCGCATTTTGCATGCAGGCCTGTTACCACAAGATCACTCATTAAAGTAACAGTCATTAAAACTTACTTCTTAATTTTCAATGTTACCCACGTTATCATATGAAAAATGATCAAACAAATATTTCTCTTTAACTTATGTGAAATATAAGTTTGTCAATAACTACAAACCAGCATTTGTTCCCGAGTCAACTTCTCTTAGGCTAAATTTGCAACCGTCACCAATTCTTTTTTTACTCGATAAATTGTATCTATTTAATTTCAATGTGATTTGATTTAATATTATTGCTATTAAAGAACACAAATTGAGACATGCACCAAGGTTGCAAAATTTGCTGAAGGTTTAGAACCTTCATTTGTTGACAAAAAATGTTTTAGGCCCTAATTTATACCATATTCATGTAAAGTACCATAATGTAATCTCTACACGGGTAACAGTAATTTCCCCACTGTAGTGTTTCCTAAATATAATGTATCCAATAAAATGTTCTTGTCCATTTACTAAAGCCCTTGCGGTTGTCTTCTTACTCTTTGCAGTGCAGTGATGTGGAGGGTATATGTCCTCTCAGCTGTGAGAGCATCGTGAGTGAAGCTGATAGACTTTTCGTTGTGTCATCTTTTGCCCTGACCCAAATGGCACACTTCATATGCACTTACAGTCTTGTGGGCTTACAATGGCCGCCGCATACACATGTCCACTAAGTCCACATGTCCGTAGGGTGTCTCTTTTGTCATTTGTGGCCGATATGGACCCTAGATTCGCACTTTTGTTGAGCCCACACTGAAGCGAGCCCCACAGCAGACTTCAAAGCTGCGTTACCTCACGAAAGGTTGGCAGACCGTGAGGGTTTAGGGTGCCGTTTGGGACAGGGCCTTTATGTAATCTGTGAATCATTGTTCTGAATCAGTTCATTTACACAAACCGAGTCACTGGAATGAATTTTGGTTCAGCAAGGGAGATTGTCAGTTCTAATCCAACTGTGTTTTTCACAGGATATCAACTGTTACCTTGTTGACAATAATGGCTTCATACTGGTCTCAAAGGACAGAGGAGATGTGAGTATATAAAACCAGTCTTTAAGTAAAATAAAATGTAAAAAAAAAAATCCCACTAATTATGACAAAATTGGGCTAAAACAGGGACTAGTTGTCACACTTTTTACTCCAGTGAATATTTCTTAGCATAGCTCTATTTTTGAAAGTTAATTTCTGCATAGACAGATAGCTTGAAATATTTATTTAAAAGCTGTGGAACATTTCCATCATTATTGCTCAGGATAAATTCAACACGCAAAGTCACTGCTGGAAAAACCATTAATTTGCTTTTGGGTTATGAGAAATGCATTGGCATGGTGAGCTGAGCCTTTCCCTGAGAATAGAAGCAGAAGATGGAAGATGGTTATCTGTTTTTTTGTGACGGTTCTAGCTGCACGTTTCCTTGCCCAGGGGGTTAGATGTGAAGGGCAGGTGATGGGGTAGGCGGATCCTCTCCCTTGAGGACTCGATAATGTACCACAAGCTTGCCCTTAGAGCAAACAGATGGGGTCCCAAATGAGACATTGATTGAGAGAATGAGAATTGACTTAGACTGCAGGGTAAAATTGGATTAGTTGAAAAAGGTTGCCATATATTTAATATATTTTTGGCCTTTTATTTATAGGACAGTACAGTGCAGACAGAATATATGAGTGTTGAAATGGAGAGTGACATCATATATGCAACTGAATATTATGCTTGCATATATTATTGGAGTTTATAGTCATAGTAGTGTTTTGTGTGACAAAAAAATCCTTTCAAAGTCTGCATGAAACAGAAGGTGTTATAGTCTTTTCTTTCTATTGTAACGTACAGTTGTAATCAAAACCAGGTAAAAAAAAAAAGAGGTCATTTTACCTTTAAAAAAGGTAATTTTCTTTACCTTTGAACTTTGCAAACTATGCTTCAAACGGTTTCTCAACATTTCGTGCCTCTGCTATCTATTTGTATCCTGTTCCTTGTTTGTGAAGGGCGATGATAACTTCTCTTAACTTTTTGGACCATTCTTTTGACTTAGCCATATTTCTAACATGCAGTCAAACGTGACGCTCAACAAACCTGGTTAGTTCAGATATTTCATGTGTTCTAGCTCAAGCACACCTGGTGCAACTAATGAAGCCCTTGATTATTTGCATCAGGTGTGCTTAAGACAACATCTGTTTAGCAGATTTGTGCTGTTGTGAGGGATTCTATTCAGGGGGTTGAATAATTTTAAGACTGCAGAAGTCATTAAAAGTTGCATTTTCAGTTAAATTTGGGGAAACCACATGTGTTTTGTTTGATTTGTTCATTGCACACTCTGTTTGTTTCCGGTCTCTATGAAGTCCCTCCTTCCAAAAAGCGCATTGTGCTCTGATTGGTCGCCTGCACCAGTGTGTTGTCATTGGTCAATCAATCAGCTTGTTTTGGAAATATCACGCTTCTTACCAATAGCTAAGTTTTAGTTTCAACACACTACTAGCGCAACTCAACCAGGCCCACCCTCTTTTTTTGCGTATGTTTTGAGCAGGAATTACATAAAAAAGGAATATTTTGACGTGTCCTTTCCTGGAAGAAAACTCAAGCCTACAATTGAATATCATTTTTCTTTTTCAAAAACATTGTTAGTGTATTCTATTGTATTCAAATGATTGTTCAAATTCAAATTATTAACGTCATCATTATTGTTGAATTAGTTATTAGATTAACGGTTTCATACCATTTAAAATGTAAATGCTGTGTATTTTGTTGCTTATCCATCTCTATATGATGACAATGGTCTCATACCATAACTGCAGCTGTTTGTAACAACACGTGCACGCACTGCAGCTATGTGAGCAGTAGTCAGGAGATTAATGCTTATGGAATCTAATCCCAGATTGCCGTGGGTCAGGTAGGGCAGTTTCAGGCATCTGCTTGCACATCTGGATCACTGCACATCAGTCTGTATGTGAGCGTGTAGGTGTGTGTGTCTATTCATCTTGGGAATGGTTAGATTCATACTGTGTTATACTGTTTATTAAACCCCAGAAGGGATCATAAGTAATCCCTCACTCTGTGTTGTAGTCTCTGTGTATGTTAACATGTGATTTCTGTATTTCTTTTCACACAGGTTGGTAAATTCTTCGGGGAAATAGATGGATCTGTTATGGCCCAGTTACTAAAATCTGGCTTGTATAAAAGGTAACTGGACGCTTCACATACCATTTTGAAAGAAATTAAGGTTTTTATTCTGCAAGGATGCATCAAAAGTGACAGCCATTTTAGATTAGGGTCCAATTCTCAATATTAACAAACTATTAACTATGACTTT